GGGTACTGTAACCAATGGAGCAAAACCCAAAGCAAACATGGGGGGAGGGGAAGTATAGAACAAGACATGGATTTTCCTTTTAAATATTTTCTTATCTCATGAGGAAGCTGACACATATATAAAACCATTTTTAAACATAGAAAATGGTAAGCATTTTAACAGGAAATCTAGAATATATAAAATTCTGAGTTAGTCTGAGCAAAAAAAGTCAAATTTGGATGACTTCACATCATCTGAGCACAGTAAAAATATTAGCCAGAATTCTAAAAAAAGTGGTAGTGCTGCCTGACTTCAATCCACTGTGAATAAAAACATCCTCTGGGTGACACAAGGAAACTTCTCATTGTTTGAGCCTCAGACTCAAGATGGAGCCTCAGACTAAGAACTCTGTAACCCCAAGCCTTATGACTCTTCAAGTCAAAGTGTTAAATCTTTGTGAAGGTCTAAAACACAACCAGAGTAAAATTTCTGGGGTAAGATGGACAAGTAGGAGCTATTTAATCATTTTAAAATAAAATTTAATTCACATAAACATAAGGGCAAACAGTAAAATGAGAAGTGTTGATGAAAAGACACCTAGTGATCTCTTTAATAAATTAGATGAGATCTTTAAGGAGCAGGATACAGTGCCAGTAAGAAGAGGAAAAAGAAAAAGTGTTGATAAGACAGCTGCTATAGGGGGAGAAAGGATTCTCTTAAAAAGAAATCCATGTCTGCACTTAACAGCCGCGGAGGAAAGACTAAGTGTGCTGCTCAGATCGAATGCATCCCTGACTTAAATTGTTCTATTATTCTGAAAACAACAGGATATTCAAGGATCTTGTCAGACACTAATTGGAAACAGAAGCCCAAACCTTTAATTGCTAAATGCTTGGTGAAGGCTGGTATACAAAATACTTTTTCCCTTCTGTGATTGGGAGTTTATTCCTCGGTGGACTGCTTGAGTGTTTTGAGAAGGAAAGTGACAGGATCAAAGCAGCTTTACAGGAAGGTTAAATGCAACAGTGATATACAGGATGAATGAAGGAATGAAGTGGGAAGACTGGAGCATAAAAAAGTAATTAAAATCCAATTATAAGTTAGGAAATAAAGATCTGTGGTGACAGATGAACTAGGGCAAAAAGGGAGGATATTGATCTTGGTACATACTTGGATTTGAAAATCAATTCCAAGGGAGACACTGGAGAAATGAAATTGTATCATTTAATGCAATTTTAACAAGTTGAAAAAATCTGTTTTGGAGTGGTGAGGAAAGATAGAAGATAGATTTTGGTTAGAGTATAAGGTACTTGTAACACTCTACAGGTCACTAGGCTGAGATCCTAAGGATGAATTACAGATTCTTATTTGGGAGTCATCAGTGGTTCTCAACTGGGGTCAGTTTTGCTCCCCAGGGGACATTTAGCAATGGCTGGGGACATTTCTGGTGTCACAGCTGGGAGGATGGTGCTATTGCAGTCTGGTAGGTGGAGGTCAGTAATGCTGTTAAACATCCTCAATGCACAGGACAGCCCCCTACAACAAAGAATCATTTGGCCCCAAATGCCACTAGTACCAAGATTGAGAAACCCTGCTCATAAATGTCATAGTACATTAGGCATATCTTGTCCAGTCAATGCATTGTAGTGTATTCTTGTTCAATTTATAGAAAATAAAAATAGTAACAAGCATTTATTGAATCTTACTCTATTTCAGGCACTATACTCACATTACATGGTTTATTTAATTTTTTGAATGCTTTGAGACAGATATCACCTTTATCCTCATTTAACAGGTTAGGAAACTGATCCACAGAAAAGTTATCTACCAAAAGCCACATGGCTGGGAAATTTGGAGGCCCAGATTGCAACCAAAAAGTCCTTTTCCAGAACCATGATTCTAACCACTAAGATGAAACATACAATGATTATAGGTATGGTATCCTCAAGCCCAGTGCCCAGTGGTAGAAAAGAGAGACAGTTACACAGAGCAAAAACATTTTTCTCCCTTCATTTTTCTCACACACATACAAATCAACTCTCAAATATTAATAGCAATGTTTTTTTCTGTATCACAGAAAATTCCATTGTGCCATTGATACATTTCAGAGCTCCTCCTGGGGGAGGGTTTCACGTGGGACAGGGATACCTTGAGCACCATCTAAAGCAGCAGGTTTGACAATCTTAGCGTTTTGACATGTGGGTGTGTCCAGATGTATTTTATCTAATTTGCGAATAATAATAAAGAGCCAGATTTTCCTAATGACATAATTTTTACCATGTAAATTAGAACGGAATAAAAGTCCTATAATAATATATGTCACGTTTTCTTACTTTCCAATATGCTTTTCTGAATGCCAAAGAAAGATATAAAATTAAAGCTAACGACATTGGGGGTGTCACTGGATGTTTACATGTGAATGGCGCTGTGATTCAGAATATAAAAATATTTGTTGGAAATTACTGATTTAATAGTTAGAATGTATTCACCAAGAGAACCATTTAATTCCTCAATTGTGACTTTCAAATCATCCACTTAAATATAAATTACACAAGCATTTCTCATTTTATCAAACTAGATATGCATAGTTTTTTAGTACAATTTGTTCTCCATTTGGTCACAAAGCTAGAACCCATTTCTCTGAAGTACAGTGGTTTCCAAATTTTTAAAACAGTGTACTCATTCTTCAAATTTATTAAGAAATAAAAATATCCATAAGAAAAAAGTGGAAAAGGAAGAGAGACATTCTGAAACCAGGATAGGGGAGCAGGGGTGTTAGGATAGAGAGAGGGGGTCCAGAGATCTACTCACTTGGCATCATTGATCTACCCATCAGGCAGCAACTTAGGCAACTTTGGGAGCCCCACAGAACACAATTGTAAAAGGATTATCCAATATATTTTAGGATAATTTAGATAATAAAATTATTATAACTCTTAAAGCCTTATAAGTATATTAAACTTGTAGGTCTAATTGATATTTTTCTGTTTGAAAATGTGATATTATATAATATGCATTTACATGTCATTAAATGCTACATCTCATGTGCTAAACTTGAATTATTTATTTTCAAGTGGTGTACAGTCTCCTGAGGCACTCAGTTTCTGTCTCTGCCTGTGGGTTATATTCATCTCTTGACCATTTCTGTCAAAAATGCAAATTTAGCTAGTGGGAACATGCTATAAAGCACAGGAAGCTTAGCTCGGTGCTATGTGACGACCTAGATGGGTGGGAGGGAGGTCCAAGAGGGAGGGGATATATATATACATAGAGCTGATTCACTTCATTGTACAGCAGAAACTAACACAACATTGTAAAGCAATTATACTCCAATTAAAAAAATGCAAATTTAGTTTTTACTATAAAAAGCTAGAGCCAATCACATTTAATGGACTTTTAAATGTAGTTCTCTGACACAATACTTAATTTAAGATGGACAGTTTTACTCTTTTAAACTGTATTTTGGGATTATTTTTGAGCAATGATGTATTTCTTTTGATTGTTCTCTTATTTTCTGATAAACAGTGACTGTAATAAATCTTGATCCTGCCTTTGGTCTAGATATTTAGTAGCTGTGTACTTGTTTTCTATAATAGTGATGCACATTAATATTTATAAGCATTTTCCTTTGCAGCATCTCCCAGATGGCTCCACGCCCAGTGCACATGTTGAATTTTATCTTTTACCATATCCCAGTGCAGTTCGGAGGAGGAAAACAAAATCTGTTCCAAAATGTACCGACCCCACTTACAATGAAATTGTAAGTATGAGTCAACTCTTGTCCAGTCGTTTTGTATTTTTCTTACCATTTTTCAGTTTAACCAAATATGGAAGATTTACAGTAATTGGCAGCATTATTCCATAAAGGGAAGTCATTTCCCAAAATAGCCACTGTCTGCCGATCACAGTTCTTGATGCTATAGGAACTGGAAAATACAGATACTGCTTTCAAAGTGCTTATGAACCAAGTTTCAAATTGTGGCTAGCCTCCAGCGAGAGCCCAAGACTTCACAGCATTTGTTTCACCTACTAACATTACCCCTGACTCTACCTTATTTTCTCTAACAAGTTTTTCTTTACCTGGTTTTCCTTACCTAATAACTTTATCATAGTCTAACCTGTGTATGGCAATAAACTTTATAAAATCTCTTTTGAAAAACTGAAAAATATAAAGAAGTACAAAGTACAAATTATATTGAAGTTAATTTATATTATATATAGCTCTCTAATTCATTTGTAGTATATGATTTGAACATCTGATCCCCTAATTCTAAGGCAAACCCTACATTTATTCTCTTGATTCCATCCTTTCCCATCTCCTCTGTACCTTGCTCACTTAATTATTTGCTCACCTTTTTTTAAGGCTGTCTCATCCACTGGATCCTCAACTCAGAAATCTTAAAAAAACAACAAAACAAACTCTTCAAGTCAGCCTTTCTAAAAGCATCCAAATTTTCTTTCCCTCGCTATCACCTCCAAACTTTTGCAAAATTAACACATTTCCTGCTCTCAGTTCATCACTTCCTTCTCACCCTTTAATCCTTTGCAATGTGGATTCTGACCTTGACTGATGCTGTTTTATTCAAATGGCATCAAAAGACTCCTAATTGCTCAATCCAATGAGCCATCAGGCTCTCCTCTCCGGAACAGTTAGACGGCAGCACTGTTAACTGCTTCCTCTTTCTTTACACCTCCGTTTTGCTTCTTAAGTTCTACCTTTTCTCTTTTTTTAATCAGCATAATTAATTTTTATTGGAGTATAGTTGCTTTACAATGTTGTGTTAGTTTCTGCTGTACAGCAAAGTGAATCCGCTATAGGTATTACATATATCCCCTCTTTTTTGGATTTCCTTCCCATTTAGGTCACCAGAGAGCATTGAGTAGAGTTCCCTGTGTTATACAGTAGGTTCTCATTAGTTATCTATGTAAGGTCGGATCTTAACAAACGGCACCGCGAAACGAAGGAAAGCTTCAAGTGAGCTTTATTAGGGAGCGCTCCCGGGCAAGGTTCACTGGTCCGAGAGAAAGGGGCCAGAGAAGTCGCGTCCAGTACTGGATGAGGGGAATTTTTATTGGGGTAAAAGCAGAAGGCGGCTTGCAAGGGGAGGGGGTGGTTTGCTATACAGGGTAATTCCTTATTTGGTGAGGATACAGCAGGGCCAGGTGTTGGTTGGTCTGTTGTGGGGCGTAAGCCCATTTTCCCTTCCCGTCAGCCCCGTTGTTTTCTGGGCAGGAAGTTAGAGTCTCTTGTTGATTCCCAGAACAGGTGAGGTCGTTATGTCCCAATGCCTCTCCTACCTCATACTGGTCGATGTTTTCTCTTACCCCCCGGGCCTCCTTTCACCCGGGCCAACGGACCTTACATCCCGACTTCTTTGATGGATTGGGGCGACGTTTTGTCTCTGGCTACTTCCTGCATGAGTGGGGACGTCGTTGGGGGTCGGGGGCCTGGATTTAAGGAGAGCCAGTGGGGGGTTCTGTAGGAAGCAGGGTGTAAGGGCCGAGAAGCATCTGGTTTGTGGCTACTCGAGAGACTTCTTCCATGCACCTGCGAAGGAACCGAAGAAAACAGGGAGCAAACATAAACAGGATACAAATAAGAAGTAGGGGGCCCAAGATTGGTGTTAGCCAGGTAAAAAGGGTGGATTGCCACCAATCGGGAATTGGGGAGGTGGACTGTTGGTGTTTGCGTTGGAGTTCACGGATAATCTGGGTGCGGTCGGTTGTTGGACTTTTTGTGGTAGGGGTAAGGTGGAGGCCCAGGTAAGTTACAGAAGATACAGATAACTGAGCCTTGGCTGGGGAGACCCGATAACCGCGAGAGCCAAGGTAATTGAGGAGATCTGCGGTATGTTGTCTAGAGAGGTTAAGAGATGGGCTGCAAAGGAGGAGGTCATCTACATATTGGAGGAGTATGCTGGGGGTAAGGGAGCAGGAAGTGAGGTCCCGTGCCAGCGCCTGACCAAAGAGATGAGAGCTGTCGCGGAAGCCCTGGGGAAGAACTGTCCAGGTGAGCTGGCTGGAAGTATGAGTATCCGGATCCGTCCAGGTAAAGGCGAAGAGGAAACAGGAGTCGGAATGTAGGGGGATAATGAAGAAGGCATCCTTGAGATCCAAAACCGTAAAGTGGGTTATGGATGGGGGAATATGGGAGAGCAAGGTGTATGGGTTCGGTACTACCGGGTGGAGAGGAATTATGGCTTCATTGATTATTCGGAGGTCCTGGACCAGGCGATAATCTCCAGAGGCTTTGCGGACAGGCAGGATGGGGGTGTTGCAGGGAGAGTCAGTGGGGATAAGAAGTCCCTGATTTAGAAGTCTGGTGATAATAGGTTGTAGGCCCCTAAGGTGAGTCTCGGAGATGGGAAATTGGGGCCTTGACAGAAACTTGGAGGGGTCCTTTAGGCGGATGAGAACAGGGGAATGGTGTGTTGCTTGCTATTATGGGCTTAGAAGTATCCCAAACTTGGGGATTGATTGGGTATGGTGTGGTTGAAAAAGGAGGGCAGGAGGGAGAGGGTTCTAGAGATAGACCGAGAAGAGGAAGCAGGAGCTGGGAGGAGGGGACTTTAGGGTCAAGTCTGACCAGCTGGAGGGAGGCTCCTAAGTAAGAGAGGATATCTCGGCCTAAGAGGGGGACCGGGCAGAATGGCATGATTAAAAAGGAATGAGTAAATGGCATCCCATCAAGATTACATGGGAGTAAACTAGTTTGAAATGGGGAGAAGGATTTGCCGTCAATACCCATAACCGAGATCTGGGAAGGAGAAACTGGCCCGGAATAGGTAGGCAGAACCGATTAGGTGGCCCCCGTGTCCACCAAAAATGAGATGGACTTACCCGCCACCTGTAGCGTTACCCTGGGCTCGGCGAGGGTGATGGGGTTCTTCGAGTCCGGGTGCCGTCAGTCGTCAGCCAATCCCAGCAGTTCGAGTGGCAATGCCGCAGGGTTGGCCTGCCCCCCGCGTGGAGACGCTGAGGGAGGGCCAGTCGTAGGGCAGTCACTCTTCCAGTGGCCCGTTAGCCCGCAGCTGGGACAGGGCTTAGAAGGAGGTTGGGGATTGGGACATTGGCGAGCCCAGTGGCCTTCTTTTCCGCATTTGAAGCAGGCCCCTGGCGGGGTTGCCTTCTGCAGACCCCGTGGATGCTGTGATCCATGGGAGATGACCGGCCTTAGGGCGGCCACAAGAGCTTGGGTTTGGAGAGCCACCTTCTGGTGCATCCGAGCCTGTCGGCTGGATTCTGCCAAATCCTTACGACCATTTTAGACTTTTAAAGGCCATTTTTACCAGGTCTCGAATAGGGGTTTGAGGGCCGTCCTCTGCCCGTTTTAGTTTTTTCCGAATGCCTGGGTCTGATTGGGTAATAAAATGGATGGCTAGGACCGCTGCCCCTGCCGGTGTGTCGGGATCCAGCCGGGTGTACAGAGTTAAGGCCTCTGTAGGGCGATTGAGAAAGATAGCTGGATTTTCGTTAGATTCTTGGGTTATCTCTTTTAGTTTTTCAAAATTGACTACCTTATGGGCAGCAGCCTGCATGCCAGCTAGGAGGCATTGAATCATGAGATCACGTTTACGGCGACCATCTTGGCCGTCCTGGTAAGTCCAGCCTGGGTCGGTGCCCGGTACAGCGGTTACGCCGACTGGCAGAGAATTATCGGTAAGGTGGACCTGATCTGCATGGTTTCGGGCAGCAGTTTGAATTCTTTCCCTTTCGTCTGGGGTTAAGGTAGAGGACAGAACCACGAAGATATCATGCCAGGTTAAATCATAAGCTTGAGAGAGATAGCGGAACTCCTTAATGTAGCGGGAAGAGTCAGCAGAGGAGGAACCCAATCGTTTTTCTATTTGAGAGAGATCTTGGAGGGAGAAGGGGACGTGGACTCGGACCAGTCCTTCTGCCCCTGCTACCTCCCTCAGTGGACAGAGGAGGTTAGGATCCTGAGAATCATGCAAACGCGTGTGTGCGCTAATTGGTGAGGGGAGGGATGTGGGCAAAGGAGCTGACGGCGGTGGCGGGGGAGCAGTGGGAGGAGCGGCTTCAGGGGAAGGGGGAACCGCTTCGGGGTACGGTGGGGGAGGTGTAAAAGGGGGGGCAGCAAGAGATTCGGGGGGGTCAGTTAAAGGAGTTTTCGTCGGAGGGAGTTGGACATAGTAGTGTATACATGTCAATCCCAGTCTCCCAGTTCATCCCACCTGTCCTTACCCCCCTTGCTGTCCATATGTTTGTTCTCTACATCAGTGTCTCTATTTCTGCGTTGCAAATAAGTTCATCTGTACCATTTTTGTAGATTCCACATATAAGCAATATTATACAGTATTTGTTTTTCTCTTTCGGACTTATTCATTGAGTTCCACCTTTTCTTAATTCCCTTCTATCTTCTCTAACCACTCTCTCATTTTCCTTCATTGCCATTCTTCCTCTGAAAATATTTGCTGGAGTTCCATGACCTACCCTCATCTCTTGATATATACACTCAGAAGTACCTTATGTATCTACAGATTTTCATTTATCACTTGTAGGTTGCATCTGAATTTATTCCTCAAGCCCTGGCTTCTCTCCCAAGCTTTAAACCTGTACTTCTACCTGATTATTAAAGAGCCCCTTTAGGATGCCTCCTACACACTTTTAAATCAGGCTTTCCTCCTCTGTTTGCCATCTCCTCGGAAGAAACTTTCTAATGACATCACCCTCTCCCTCACTCACAAGTCCAGTTAATCCCCAAGTTTTGTCAGTTCTACCTGTGCAGCCACCTGCCTCTTCAATCCATCTTCTCCTCTATGTCCCATCGCTACTTCTTTGTTTGAAGGCCTTGCAACTTTGGCTAATATAAGAGCCTCCTATCAGCCTCCTATCTTGTGTTTTTCAATTAAATCATTCAAATTTCTATCTAAGATGTCAAAAACTACTCATATTTATTATTCTCCTACCTTTTTTCAAATGTTCCTTATTGCCTACTGAATAATATCCAAAAGCCCAAGTGTGGCATTCACAGCCTTTCAAATTTGACTCAGTAATTTTCCTGAGCTGTCTCTGGAGCAATATCATCCTTATATACTTTTTCAAAAAAATTTTTGTTTTGAGGTAATTGTAGATTCACAAGCAGTTGGAAGAAATAATATATAGAGAATTCAAATACCTTTCAACCACTTTCCTGCAATGGTAACGCTTTGCCTGACTACTGACAATATCACTACCAGGAAATTGACATTGATATGATCCACTGTCCGTATTCTGATTTCTCCAGCTTTACATGTGTTCTTATGTATATGTGTGCATGTTTAGTTCTGTGCATTTGTATCACACGTGTAGGTTTGTGTGATCATCCCCACAGTCAAGGTACAGAACATTACCTCACGGTGATTCCTGGTGCTACCCTATTATAGCCGCACTCTTCTCCCTCTAACGCCCCATCCCCAAACCCTGGCAACTATTAATCTATTCTCTATAACTTTGTCATTTCAAATGTTATGTAAATGGAATCATACAGTCTGTTACATTTTCACTTACCATAGTTCCCTAGAGATCCATCCAAGTAGCTGCATGCATCAATAGTTTGTTCATTTTCACTGCTAAGTAGTAGTCATGGCATGGAAGTATGACAGTTTCTTTAACTGTTTACCAATTAAAGGACATCTGGGTTATTTCTGGCTTGGGGCTATTGCACACAAAACTGCTGTGCGGGCTTCCCTGGTGGCGCAGTGGTTGGGAGTCCGCCTGCCGATGCAGGGGACACGGGTTCGTGCCCCGGTCCGGGAAGATCCCACATGCCGCGGAGCGACTGGGCCCGTGAGCCATGGCCACTGAGCCTGTGCGTCCGGAGCCTGTGCTCCGCGACGGGAGAGGCCACAGCAGTGAGAGGCCCACGTACCGCAAAAAAAAAAAAATCTGCTGTGCACATTGATATATAGGTTTTTGTGTAAACATAAGTTGTAATTTCTCTAAGCAAATGCTCAAGATGTAATTACTAGGGTATATGGTAATGCTGTACATAGTTTTTCAAGAGACTGTCAAACTCCTTTTCTATACCATTTTACACTCCCACCAGCAATGTTTGTGCCAATTTCTCTACATCTTTGCCAGCATTTAGTGTTATCACTATATTTAATTTTAGTTCTTTTGAAAGGTATAGAGTGATAGCTCATTGTGGTTTTAATTTGCATTTATCTAGTAGCTAATGATGCTGAATTTTTTTCATGTGCTTATTTACCATCTGCATACCCTCTTTCATGAAATGTCTCTTCATGCCTTTGTTCATTTTCTAATTAGATAGTTTGCATTTTTACTCATTTTTACTGTTGACTTTTGAGATTCTTTATATACAATGGATAATGGTCCTTTGTCAGATGTGTGGTTTGCAAATATTTTCTCCCAGTCTGTAGTTTGACTTTTCCTGCTTTTCTCACGGTTTTTCACAGAGTAAAAATTTTCAATTTTGATGAAACCCGGTTTATCAATTTTTTTTTCTTTTGTAGACTGCATATTTGGTGGCAAGTCTAAGAACTCTTCACCTAGCACTAAGTTCTAAAGATTTTCTCCTATATTTTT